TAAGTTACCTATTAGTGCTCAGTGAACCATTTCAAGGAAACCTTAGATACCATACACCATACCCTAAAGGTAAAGGGATATGCTCCTTATACTTCAGTGTAATGGTAGCTTTTTTGCAATGTTTACTTTTGCTTCTGAAGGTTGGAACAAAAAAGTAAGAAGGATCAAGAAACATAACAGGGGCTGTGCATGGTGGCTCATGCCTGGAATCTCAGCACTCTGGGAGACCAAGGTGGGTAGATCACCTGAGGTCAGAACTTCGAGACCAGCCTGGCAAACATGGTGAAACCCCGACTCTACTAAAAATACAGAAAAGTGAGCAAGGTATAGTGGCACACGCCTGTAATTCCAGCTACTCAGAAGGCGGAGTCAGGAGACTCGCTTGAACTCAGGAGGCAGAGGTTACAGTGAGCCAAGGTCACGCCACTGCACTCCAGTCTGGGTGACAGAGCAATAAAAAAAGAAAAGAAGTAAACATTAACAGGAAGCAAATACTCTACAAAGCTATGTTTCAACCTTTATGTAGACATTTACCAACTAGATGTATGAAAAGAAAGCCTCAATTGGACTTTTCTGCTTTGTTTCAGCTGAACAGACACAACTGAACAGACACAACTTGATAAGCTCTAAAATTAATCAGACTTCAGTAAAAATGGTGTGCATATGCATTAGGTCAGACACTGTAGATCGCTTTGCTCAACACTAGAGTCTGTTTTCCTTGCTTTTGTCTAATATAGAGACTATAAAAGCTAAATACTGTATAGTATCCTTCAGTTATCTGTGAGGGACATGTTCCAGGACCTCCCAAAAAGACTGAAATCTGAAGATGCTCAGGTTGCTGACATAAGATGGTATATGTAATATTTGCACACAACCTATATACACCCTCCCATATACTTTAAATCATCTCTAGAGTACTTCTATTACCTTGTACAATGTTAATGCTATGTAAATAGTTGTTATAATGTGTTGTTTAGGGGAAAATGACAAGAAAAAATGTCTGCATATGCTCAGTACAAGCAAGTTTTTTCCCCAAATATTTCTGATCCATAGTTGGTTGATCAGAAAGGAAGCCACAGAGATGTAGAGCTGACTACAGTAGGTTTCAAACTCTTCCTTACTACTAGGAGAGTCTGTGTGACATAGTTTTAATCAATGAAATATAGGCAGACCTCTACTGGCATTATAAACCACGCTCCTTTTCCCTTTCCACCTCTTCTTCTGTCTTTATGACTAGAGCTGTAACAGACATCTTTCAATGAAGCAAAGGCCAAGAGAAAAAGATGTCCAAAGTTGTAGCAGCTGCATATTTCCAAGCTGACTATAATGAGGAAAAGATAAGGACCCATTTGCTTAAAGTCACTGTTAGTTTAGAATTTATTATTTGCAAACACAATGTTAAGCACGAGTGAACTAAGTGAAGCAAACGAGCCATACCGTTCAAATCTATGCTGTAACACTTTTTCACCCAGGGAGAAATGAGGCGGGTAGTGGGGAAAATAATGTAATTGTAAGATAGCGCTTCTCAAAGTTTTCCACCCAATTATCTTTTAACAGCAAAAAAAACAAAACATTAGGAATATGAAGCAACATAGCAAGGAGTCATAGCCACACAAACAGTATTTCTTGAAAGAGCTCATCTTTTACACAAATTCTACATATATAATTACATTTGCATAAATTATCCATATAAATTATATTTAACCCACTCAAATGCTATACTGCAAGTTTCAATATGAAAATAAACTTTTAAAGTCATTTTCTTATTAAAACTGGGCTTGAGAAAAAATGATATTAGGATGACTGTACCCACTGACATACCAGATTTGTCCCTGAAGCTACCTGTACCCCAGGTCAAGAATCACAGCTAAGTGGGAACAGTACCTTTTCTATTAAAATACAATCACCAAGGTTTTAACACCTTACACTATCTTGCTGTGGGGCGAAGACACCCAAAACGACACTCCTAACTTTATACTAGGTGTTTTGCCTTCCCTCTGGGATTCTCTCACTTCAATTACTGCCTGTCATCAGACATACTTTAATGCTTTATTGCAAAAAGCATTCTCATGGCTTCTCTTAGCGTAGTTAGTAAAGGCAAGAACTTTCAAGAGCTTGATATTACAAACAAACAACTTTAGCTTCACAAAATACAAGTTTCTGATCTTCATACAGCTCATCTCCTCCTAGGGATCTTAAGATCCAGTCTTACTGTGCCTCCTATTTTAAAATAGCTAATTCTACACTAATGAGTTGGCATACCTTTAGAGGCACTACGAGTTTGCTAATTTCAGTTCACGTCCACCCCCAAAGAACTGCCTCCTAAACAGCTTCATAGTCTCTAGATTAAGAATCTGAATGTAGGCCAGGCGTGGTGGCTCATGTTTGTAATCCCAGCACTTTGGGAGACCGAGGCAGGCAGATCACTTGAGGTCAGGAATTCGAAACCAGCCTGGCCAACACAGTGAAACCCCATCTCTATTAAAAAAAAAAAGAAGAAGAAGAAGAATCTAAATGTCCTCTGCATTCTCCTTACATTCCCCAAGGTCCTTTCTCTGAGTTCTAATATGAGACACGAGAGATAAACAGGCTTCTTTCCATATGGACTGATACCAGAAATTAACTGATCTTTTGATGATACTGCTCCAATTACATATACGCATGCACACTCTCTCTTTGACACACATGGAGACTTCCAAGATTCTATAGCAAACAGATTGGTTCCTTATGATAATCTATTACTGTAACCTTCTTGGATAAATGTCTCATAAAGAAAAGAATGGTTAAGAGGTAAACTCCAGTCACATAGAAACCTGACTTTTTAAAAAGACATTTAATTTCCAACAAACAAGGTGGTGCTTTTATTCCCTTTCAAAAGCTCATGTCATAAATGAAAATATTAAGCTTAGTTTTAAATGTGATTTGGAATTTACATAGTAAGATTACTTGCTCACCCAAGTCTTCCTACAAATTAAGGAAGTTAACAGTTATTAATTGGCATTAGAAGTACCAGTGGTATTAGAAGATAAACTTTTTGTACTTGCAATATTGGTATTAGCTTATACACTGGAAAGAAAGATGTGTTTACCCTTATTGTCTCAAGCTATTTCTGAAATGTTTTAACTAAAAACTGGGATAATTCTGGTACAATTCCCACCAATAGGTATTCTTTTTTAATCACATATTAAAATTTTTAATTAATGTAATTGTCAGTTTCACTGCAAAGCTTTAAATAATTAATTTTGCATCTATGAAAATACACTAATAAAAAATGTGACGAGGATGCTGTAGTCTTAGAAACTGTATTTCTACATAGTCTCTTGTCAATACTACCTGCCATAAAATTCAAACATTTTGGAAAACAATTTTTAAAAATTCTATCCACAAATGGTTAAGCCCCAAAATAATTCACTTCTTTTTATTTCCCAAATTAAAGTATCTGATTTCTTAAATTGTAAACATATAACTTAGATGCCCTTTTAACTATCTTTAATTACCAAGTATGACCACAGTAAAGACATTTTCAATAGAATATTTTCTTCATTTTCCCACCAGAGGGCAACCAAGAACCTCAAGTGGTGTTCTGCAATCAATTTAACAGAATCCAAAGTGTAAGGAATAGAGGATGGGGAGGCGTTTAAAGTTCACTGAGACTATCAGACTAGTCATAAGCCATTGCTCATGTTACTTCTTAAAACTGACTCTATAATAAGGGTAGTATTTTAAAACATCTTATATACATAATTAGATGTTTAATTTACCTACAAACCTTTTTTTAACAGCGATTAGCTTTATAAAAACATTCCTTAAAATGTTTTAAATCCTTTTCCCAAAACACCCTGTTGTACATACCACATGAGAAAAACAGGTTTAACACTCAAGGAAAAAGGAAAATGTAGCCTTAGCTATTTAAACAACACATATGAATTTTACACTGGCTCACAGTTGAACAACCAATATGAATTGTAAATTTGTTAAAAATGTTTCTATTAGCAGCCTACTTTTTCTTGTGCAATCATTTCCATTTTCTAGTTCAGAAAATTTCTGAAATCTCACTAGGAAAATAAGAATTCTCTGACACAACAAAGAATTTAAAGTGAAGGGGGAAAATGCTTGGGTGACCAGAAAAGCAATATATTCTTTAATAAAGGGGTAAAAAACTTTCAGCCTAATTTAATCAGCTAGCAATTTGAGACCTCTTCACATCATCAATTGAGAAGTTTCAGTCTTACAAAAACTAAAAAGAAAAAAAAGTTTCATTTGAAACAATACTTGAAAATAATTATTCCCTCAAATACTACAGTAGAGGGCTCTCTTTCTACAAATAGCTTTAAACCATATGTTGTTTTTGATTGCAGAAATCAGGTAAAAATGTATCCGTTCTTTCTTCCATTTAGCATTTTATATAAAAAACCATAATTTATCTTTAAGGCAAACTTTACATTTATATATATATATAGAACACCTTACTCAATTAACCACTGTTTCATTTATAGGAAATGAATAGTAAAGTCATGGTTCTTTCAGTGTTTATTTTGTTTAAAAGCTTTTTTTTCCTTCTATACAATCTAAATAGCAACACAATTTAGTATCAAAATAACAAAGTCTATGGCATTAGTTTAAATATTAAACCTGCCACAAGCAATTTCTTCCATCAAAGTGATATCAGAAAGCATCTTCAATCCTGCACATCAATGGTGTTTCCTGTACACTTCATTTTCCACAGTAGCAAAACATAAAAAGCAAGTCAATGATCAATCCTCATTAATGGAGAATGACAGCATTTTATATGCAGCTTTCATGAAAATCAGATCCTTTTCTACTATACCTTAACTGTGTGCACAGACCCATTTGTGGTTCTTATGTCAGACACACAAAGGACAGGAAATCTATTACATGAATTAAAGTCAATCAAATCATCTAATCTAAATTATATTTCTTTGCTGAAATACTATTGGATTTAAAACCAAGCTTTTTAAGGAAGTATTATTCAAACCCACCTTACATCCAAACATTAAGGATATTGTGCTGTTGGTGCATGCTACTTTACAGTGGCATAACATCGGAGAAAAGCAATCCAAGTTTTTGATGCTAGGAGACATTTTTTCAGACCCTGAGCACTTAAATCGATCCAAGACTGACATTCCAGAAAAATGCCTTGGTGAATGTTGTTTGCTGACTGTCTTGAACATTTACTCTAGATCCAAAGCACTCATTTAAAAAAAAAAAAAAAAAAACTGTATTAAAATGTTGCATTCTTCAGCTGTTTCCACCCCCACAGCAGAGATCAAGTCGGCATACTATGATTGGAATTAAGATGCTATTTCTTTTTCCTGCATCATAAAACTGCTTCAATAAAATTATAGCCAAATTCCAAGAATGAAAGTGCTCATTTAGCATCACTTTGTCAGGGCCTTGCTAATAGCCTTAAAATTTAATCCAGCATTGGATTCACCACAGAAGCTCCACTTGCTGCAGTATTAAGCTCTGCTATCTCCTCCATGAGAATAAGATACAACTCGAACAGAGCCACTCTGCTCAAATATATGCTGGCTGCTTTGGGGGAGGCGCAAGATGTTGCAGCAAGGGATTCATTACATGGTTCAGTAAGAGATAAGCCCAGAGCTTGTCCTATGTGATGCTTTCTTACTACACCAACTAAACATTCTAGTCTGATTTAAAATATGTAGTTAATAGTAATAAGAGTACCTCAATCACTTATCATTTCTCTCTATAAACAATTCAAGCAACAACAACAAAAATCAATCATCTGGCAAAGTTAAGTAGAATAATTACAAAATTAAACTTGGACAGTAAAAAAGTTCAATATTTTCTAATACATCAAAATAACTTAAAATCTGAGAAAATGTTACTGAACTGATTTTGATGTATATCTACACCATGTGGAAAGTTAAGTGATTTAATTCATTGATACGTCACTTATTCATCTACTGTTTCAAAGATTATTTTCTGTGCTTTGGCTTTTTAATCAACCCATTGGCAGAAAAGTTAACATTACCCAATTACAGCCAAAGCAGTAAATAAAACACTATGAAAATGTCATTCTTATAATATTTTATATTTAAAATCTTGCACACAAATGTTACATCTTATGCAGTAGCGTCAATATAATTTAAATGGACAATATTTATTGAAACTCAAAAGTTGAATTAACAAACGCCATCAAAAAATTAAATAACACTCAAAGGAATATTTACTGCTTCATCTATGTAATTATCTTTTCTTTCTTCCACTATTATTTGGGTTGTTCTAAGTACTATATTTATATTGTGGTTAAGAAATATTAATTGCTAATGAAGACTGTCAAATTTTACAAAACTGCCTGTAATCCCAACACTTTGGGAGGCCGAGGTGGGTAGATCGTCTGAGCTCAGGAGTTCGAGACCAGACTGGCCAACATGGTGAAACCCTGTCTCTACTGAAAACACAAAAAAATTAGCTAGTTGTGGTGGTGGCACACCTGTAGTCCCAGTTACTTGGGAGGCTGAAGCAGAGAATAGCTTGAATCCGGGAGACAAAGGTAGCAGTGAGTCAGGATTGCACCGCTGGACTGCCTGGGCGACAGAGTGAGACTCCATTTCCAAACAAACAAACAAAATATTTTACAAAACTAAAATTATCAATTCATATATTTGTACTCAATGACCTTATGTCTCTATATGCTTAGTAAGTAAAGCTGTTTGTGGAAAGGTATACTATATTTTGCTATACACCAGAGACAGTGTGCCAAAAGACAAAAATTCTCTTGTCACCAACCATTACCCTAATTCCAAACCTGCTTAATAACACTTGTAATTCCAATTTCCTATACAATTCTCTATTCTGTTCCATTCCTACTTATGTAATTTTATAAGGGGAAAAGACAGAAACCTAGGTTACATTCCTGAAACAGTATAGGAAATAGCTGGTTCTCCAATCTGATTAACTGCAAATCACATGACTCTTGTAAAACTTAAATGAAATGTCAAATATCAACTGTAACTAGGGCAAAAAAAAGTAAACTATGCTCCTTAGAAGACTTTCTATTTAAAAATACATTTACTAAGCCAGAACTATAGTTGTTACACTGTGGTTCTCAGCCTTTTTCACTGCAGTGCCTCGGGGTGTCACCAATGTTCTTTCATTTTAAAACTTTCCTTTTCAAATTTAGAAATTTTAATTTTAAAAGCCTGGAAGCACAAATGTATAACAAGTTTTAATACTAGTATTTACCTATAACAATTTATTTACCAATACTACCAAGTAAACTCATTTTGTGTAAATCTCAAAATACAACTTCTAAAATTGTTGTGCACATGGGGGATTTGTCTCATTGATCATGTAGGTTGTACGCACTGAGTCTTAATAAAATTCAGTTCTGTTCAGACATGTCTGCTCACCTAAAATTATATAAGCAAGCACATTATTTGGCACGTCTAATAGAATAAAATGTCAGGCAAAGTTCAAGCATGTCTACTAAGCCTGTGCTCTTAATACAGTCTGCCTTATTGAGTTGGTTACACAATAAACATGTAATATATTCAACTACAATAATATTATGCTATAATCATTTTAATGATTACTAGGAATTAACCAGTATTTCTTGTTTGATTTTTTTTTTGGCGGGGAAAACTGAATGAATGAGTTCAGTGTATGTATTCTGGGTCAAAATTTACCATACCTACAACTGCAGAAAAGAGTATTAAAAAACATGAATTTGATTTTGGGACTTACCAGAAAAAATGACTGATTTTGACTATTTTGAAACTCAGTAGATCTGACAGATTTGCACTAAAGTGTCTTAGGTTGTTTTGTTTGTTTTCTAATGATGTTATCTAACAAATCAATATCCCAGGTAAACTCAGCCAAATAATGCCTGTCAAACTACCTAAGAAACAACATATTAGTAATAATAAATAATTAAAACAGTAGCAGTTGTCATTTAACAATTATCTACTACTAGTCAGGCACTGTGCAAAGTGCTTTCATGTGTCAGAAAAATTATCAAAAGCTTGGAAAAAGAGGCAAAAAAAAAATTGGTAGTACATCCAATGTTGTAACAGAAAAAAAGGTTGTTCAAGATTATCCAGGGCAATGGTTTTCATCATGGAACAATTTTGTGCCCTCGGGAACGCTTGGCAATGTCTGTTGCCCAATCAGGGAGAAGAGAAGACGCTATGGGCACCTAGTGAGTAGAAGCCAGGGATGCTATTAAACATTTTATAACACGTTGGACAGCTTTCCACAACAAAAAATGATCTAGCCCAAAAATCATGAATGCCCAAGTCGAGAAATTCTAATTTAGGGTAATGTACATTTCTATTTACTAAAAGTTCCGTTCCAGCACTTTAGGAGGTCAAAGTGGGAGGACTGCTTAAGGCCATAAATTTGAGACCAGTCTAGTCAACACAGCAAGAGTCCATTTCTAAAATAAAATAAAAATAAATACAAGAGGCTAAGGTGGAAAGATCATTTGGGTCCAGGAGTTAAAGGTTGCAGGAAGCTATGACTGAGCCACTGTACTCCAGACTGGGTGACAGAGTGAGATCCTGTCTCTTAAAAAAACAAAAGTCCTAGGCAGTAAGGTTATATATGTTAACTTGTAGCTTTTTATCCAATAGAGAAGCAAGTAATTTTTGCCTGATAACCACAAAGATTAAATTACGGGCCTTGTTGGATATTAATCAGTTTCTTACCTAACTCAGCAGCCTTCTATTCACATTGCCTATAAATACTTAGATCCACAAATGCACTCTGGGCAAATTTAACGTCTTACTATTTAAGTGAGCGGCATACAATCTGTGACACATGTTCTTTCTATATTTGCCTAAGTGTAAGAACTTTGCTTTTTTGACAATCATACTTTAACGCACATAATCACCTTACTTAATCCAAATATGATTACTTGGATATACTTTAACATATGTAATTACCTTACTTAATCTAAATATGATTTACCTCTTATGAGGTAAAAGCTATTATAATGTTCATTTGATAAATGAGAAACTCAAGGCTTGGAGGAGTCACATAATTTATCCATGGTATAACAGCTAGCAGAAATGAGAATCATGTCTGACTATAAAGCTTATTTCAACAATTAATAAATGCAAGCCAAGGTTACATATTTAGTTAGTTGAGTCCAAAGTCTTTACTGTCCTTTCTACCTGCCAGAATAACAATTTAAGGCAATAAGACAAGCTTTAAAATAGTTATCAATTACTAATCTGTTTCAATTGGGTTTTTCTCAATATTGTGTAACAAAATTAGGGGGGGTAAGATGCTGAGATTAGTAATATCAAAATGTTTGCATTACTCAAAACTGTCTGTTTAGATTTATATAATAAACAAATGTTATAAATAAGAATTTATAAGTAAATATATGGTAATAAATACTACCTATATTACATATTACATTTCCATGTTTAAGGTTTCACTGTCAATTGAAATCTTAAAAAGGGGTTAAAATACAAAAGCAACAGCCAACAAAACTCCTTCACCTGTCACATTAACCCTTGACCAAATAATTCAATATAGTAAAAACATCAAACTATTTAGTCATGCCTTTTTTATTATATGTTAATTCATTATCAAACAAATGCTGAGTTATTAAGTTATTAACACAAAACAAGGTTAAGGTAACAATTTTTTTTTTAAGTCCATAAGAAGCTAAACTTGTAGACCAGCGGTCCTTAAATGAGCAGTGTTGTGCCTTTTTTTTTTTTTTAATTTCTAGATGATTTTGACGTGTCACTGTCCGCCATCCCACTGACTTTCAAAACATCATGGTAAATCAATAAATATTTGAGTTTTATACCAAAGACAGTATTAGCATCTTTATATAAACAATTGTAATTCTTACAGAGCAGAGGACTTAGGTAAGATCACAAAGTGATGTTACATTTAAAGACCAGATGTATACATCTTAAAGAATATCTGAATTTAATTTTCACCTTGCTAAAAAAACAAGAATTAAATGATAGTATTATCCGCTAAAAAAAAAAAAAAAGGTATTGTTTTCCATGACTCTTCCGATTGCTTTACATATAGTAAGTTATCTAATCATCTTAATGCTAAGTAAGCTATAGCATATAACTAGTTGATGTAATACCTAAGTTTCCATGAAGAATTAATTATTTACTGAAAATTTCAACATTAGAAACTATCTCCAACAGAAATGTCTGATAGTTCTCACAGTGAAGAAAATGCAGGAAGATCACACTGCTGTAAGAGAACCATATGGGATTTAAATGAAAAATGAAGTTAGAAAAATATTATTTTTCTTAAATTACATGAAGAATTAATGCTGTGGTTTTGCTTTATTTGCTGTCTTTTTGAAATGGCAGGTTATTAAGCAGTCCCATTAGTTACCTATGAATTTGCCATCAATTTTTCTGGCAAAGAACAACCCACAATAATGTGGACGTTTCTGTTACAAGCAGGCTTACAAAACTGATTTAGCAAAAATACCATAAAACTGATTAAATACATTTTGCTGTGAGTAAGAATATAAGAATACTAACATACAGCCGGGTATGGTCTTACACCTGTAAACCCAGCACTCTGGGAGGCTGAGGTAGGAAGACAGCTGAGCACAGGAGTTCAGGCTACAGTGAGCTATGAACACACCACTGTACATGCATGGATGGATGGATGACAGAGACCTTG